CTCAAAAAAAGAAAACCTAATAAAGAAATGGACAAAAGAAACAACAAAATGAAGAGACAAAAACTACAGCATGGGAGAAAATATTTGCAAACTATCCATCTAACAAGAGATTAATAACCAGAATATATAAGGAGCTCAACTCATCAGTGAGAACCAAATAATTGATTAAAAAATGAGCAAATGATCTGAATAGACATTCCTGAAAAGAAGACACACAAATGGCCAACAGGTATATGAAAAAATGCTCAACCTCACTAATCAGAGAAATGCAAATCAAAACCACAATGTGGGCTGTGTGTGGTGGCTCATGCCTGTAATCCTAGCATTTGTGGGGTGGGGAGCCCAGGTGGGAGGAGGATCACTTGAGGTCAGGAGTTAGAGACCAGCCTGAGCAAGAGACCTCCATCTCTACAAAAAATAGAAAAATTAGCCCAGCATGTTGTCAAGCGCCTGTAGTCCCAGCTGCAGAAGGCTAAGGAGGAGGATTGCTGAAGCCAAGAAGTTTGAGGTTGCTGTGAGGTATCATGACACCAGTGCACTCTATCCCAGGCAACAGAACGAGACCCTGTCTCCAAACAACAACAACAAAACACCCCCCACACACAAGAGAAAAAACCCACCATGTGGTATCATCTCACCCCAGGTAAAATGGTTATTATCAAAAAGACAAAATACCATGCTGGTGAGAATGTGGGAAAAGGGGGAACTCTTTCATGGGTCGGTGGGAATATGTTACTATAGCCATTATGAAAAATTGTATGGAGGTTCCTCAAAACACCAAAAATAAAACTGCCAGCTGGGCATGGTAGCTCACACCTGTAATCCTAGCACTTTGTGGCCGGGGATTTAAGACTAGCTTGAGCAACATGGTGAGACCTCCTCTCTACAAAAAAATAATTAGCCAGCTGTGGCGGCACGTGTTTGTAGTCCTAGCTAATATAAACAAACGAATAACTAAAAAAAAAATTATATATATATATATAATCTCCAGCAATTCCACTGGTATGTATCCAAAACAAAGGAAATCAGTATATTGAAGAGGTATCTATACCATGTGTATTGCAACACTATTCACAATAGCCAAGGTATGGAATCAACGAAAGTGTCTATCAATTGATGAATGGATAAAGAAAATGTGTGTGTATACAATGGAAAAATATTCAGCCATTAAAAAGAATGAAATTGTATCTTTTGTAGCAACATGGAAGGGCCTGGAGGACCGTATGTTAATTGAAATAAGCCAAGCACAGGCCGGGCGCAGTGGCTCACACCTGTAATCCTAGCACTCTGGGAGGCCGAGGCGGGTGGATTGCTCGAGGTCAGGAGTTCAAAACCAGCCTGAGCAAGAGCAAGACCTCGTCTCTACTACAAATAAAAAGAAATTAATTGGCCAACTAATATATATGGAAAAAATTAGCCGGGCATGGTGGCGCATCCCTGTAGTTCCAGCTACTTGGGAGGCTGAGGCAGGAGGATGGCTTGAGCCCAGGAGTTTGGAGTTACTGTGAGCTAGGCTGATGCCATGGCATTCACTCTAGCCTGGACAACAAAGTGAGACTCTGTCTCGGAAAAAAAAAAAAAAAAAAAGATTTTTAAAAAGAATTCAACTGGTGTTTTTTGTTGAACACGTTCATGACCGTCACATTTTTTTTATTATAAAGTTAATACAGGTTAAATATCCATTATCTGAAATGCTTGGGACCAGAATTTTTTTGGATTTTTGGAATATTTTAATTATATACTTAACCAGTTGAGCATCCTTAATCAAAAAATTTGAAATCTGCAATGCTCCAATGAGCATTTCCTTTGAGTATCATGTTGGTGCTCAAAAGATTTCAGATTTTAGAGCATTACACATTTTGGGTTTTTGGATTGGAGATACTCAAGTTGTATAACTACATTCCAGAAAATGGGGACAGGGGCACACAACTGCATATATTGTTGTTGTCTCACTACACATATCATTTGATGACTTTTATTTCCTTATTTTTATTTCATTTCCATATCTTAAATAAGCCTTCCCTTATTTTAATGAGGCTGCCATTTTCCAATATGGTTTGTGGAGAAGAGTGCATTAGGCTTTCTTGTTAGGCAATGGAAGAAACTGAAAAGAGGTTGCTCAAGTGGGTCAAAATCATAAGTATAGATCTGTTCTGTGTTTGCAGATTGAATTGAGACCAGCTGTACAGGAATGTAGCCCAAAACAAAGACTTTGCTCCCTTCTCCCATTTCTTTTAAATGTTAGGACGATATGCTATAACAAATTATTACACTTAGTGGCAATGAAAATAAAATATATATATATAAAAAGAAAGAAAAAGATAAATGTTAGGACGATAGTCCTGGTCTGCAGGCAAAATCTTATCTTCCTTTTTGGCCTGTGCCATTGGGTGGGTTTTTGGTAAGTGGTAGGGGTCCTGGTCTCAGAGGCAGTGGGTATAGAATAAATGAAAAGCAAGCTGGATGGAGAATCAGTGTCCACTGTGGGGTCTGCCCCATGTCTCGGTGGTCATGAGCCCTGATCTGACATCCAGGCTGGACATTTGCGTGGTGGAAGATGGGAAGCATAAACAGTTTTTCTTCAAAGTCCATTTTGGCTATAACTCCTTATGGGAAGCCTCATCCTATTGACTGTTTTTGTCTCCCCCATTCATATGTTAAAACCTAATCCACAGTGCAATAGTAAGGAGGTGAGGCCTTCAGGAGGTGATTAGGTTATGAGAGCAGAGCCTTCATGAGTGGGATTAGTGCCCTTATAAAAGGCCTTAAGGAGCTTGTTCATACATTCTGTGAGGACACAAGAAGGCATCATCTATGAAACAAAGAGTGAACCCTCTCCAGACACCAAATCTGTTGCTGCCTTGATCTTGGACTTCCCAGCCTCTGTAACTGTGAGCAATAAATTTCTGTTGTTTATAAGTTACACAGCCTAAGGTATTTTCTTATAGCAGCCTGGACATACTAAGACACCTTACCTTATTTTTTCAGGTCCAGCTAGTCATCCTCCATCTGCTCTATTCCAATCATAACATGTTTTCTTGTTTCACAGGCTGGCCCAGTAGCCGGTGAGCATTCTGAGGGCAGAGACAGTGTATTTTATGTTTATAATAATAACTATTTACTGGATACTATGTGCCAGGCACGGAATGTTTATATTCCACTTAATCCATACTTTTATGCCACTTAATCCATGCTTTTATGACATAACTAGTTTTTTAAAAATGCCATTGTCAAAGATGAGGAATTAAAGGCTCAGAGAATTTAAATTGTCTTGCCCAACATCACACATTTGAAGCTAGACCTGGAATGAGAGCCAAGGTGGGTCTGATTCCAACTGCCTCCCCTCATATTTGGCTGATACTCAAGTGATTGTGGGGTAATGCAGTATTTCTGTGTCATGAGATTGAATTTCATAGGGCACACAGACTGCAGTGTGGAAAGTTACTCTTCTCAGTTTCCTTTACTCCTGATTATGTCCCGGAGAAAGTTTGTTTGGTACCAGAAGTTGTTTAACATCTAACACTTGGCTGACCTTTTTTTTTTTTTTTTTTTGAGACAGCCTCACTCTGTTGCCCAGGGTAGTGTGCCGTGGCATCAGCCTAGCTCACAGCAACCTCCAACTCCTGGGCTCAAGTGATCCTCCTGCCTCAGCCTCCCGAGTAGCTGGGGCTACAGGCATGCACCACCATGCCTGGCTAACTTTTTTTTCTATGTATTTTTAGTTGGCCAATTAATTTCTTTCTATTTTTGGTAGAGACGGGATCTCCCTCTTGCTTAGGCTGGTTTCGAACTCCTGACCTTGAGCCATCCTCCTGTGCTAGGCCTCCCAGAGTGCTAGGATTACAGGCATGAGCCACTGCAACTGGCCTGGCTGCCCCTTTTGAATCAAGAAAGAACAAGCTCAGTCAGAGCCTTTGGCAGACAATAGATAAAACAGTAACTGTTGTTTTTATTTGAATCTAATTCTGTTGTAATCTATGGCAAATGATAGTGAATTTTTACTGATGGAAGCAATATAAAATTTCTTCTTAAACTTGTTTTCATATGCATAAATACCTTTGAGAGGAAGCACAAAAAACTGTTAATACGTATTGCCTTCAGGGACTCTTTCTGGGTAACTGGGGCACATTTTTAATTTTGTGACCCAAAGTGGACAAATTTGATTAGTCAGGAAATTTTTAAATAAGTAACAGCGCAGGTGGTAGGGGAAAAACCATGAACATCTTAAGAGAATGAATGAAGCTAAGGAAACTGTCAAAATCTCACAGGGGTTGAAACTCATTTTCAGGTCTAAATATTATAAAATTATAAGTAAATAAAATAAGAAAAAAATTAAAAAAAAAATCTCACAGGGGAAAAAAACCCAAATTAATTTTTTTATATTTATTTTTTTATTCAATTTATAAATTATTTTATTTTATTTTTTGAGACATAGTCTCACTTTGTTGCTCAGGTTACAGTGAGTGCTCTGGTGTCAGCCTAGCTCACAGCAACCTCAAACTCCTGGGCTCAAGCCTCCTGCTTCAGCCTCCTGAGTACCTGGGATTACAGGCATGCGCCACTATGCCCGGCTAATTTTTTTTCTCTATATATTAGTTGACCAATTAATTTATTTTTTATTTATCGTAGAGATAGGATCTGGCTCTTGCTCAGGCTGGTTTCGGATTCCTGACCTTGAGCAATCCGCCTGCCTAGGCCTCCCCAGAGTGCTAGGATTACAGGCGTGATATAAATAATTTTATTATTTCTTTTTTCTTTACTTTTTTTTTTAATCCCCTGATGCAGACTTAACATTATTTGTTAAAAAAACAAATTTATAGTGAAGATACAGTGACGAGTTCGCCCAGCCCGGGTTCTGGCACGTGGCTGGAGGTTCCTAGTGCGCGCGCGCAGTCTCTGGGCGGCCATTTCTGCGCGTGTGTGGTCCGTCCCCCACCAAGCGCGCGCGAAGAGTACGCTGGCCGGTCGGCGGTGCGCACGCACGCAGGCACGCAGGCACGCACGCCCCGCCCCGGCCCACGTCGGGCTCGCGAATCCCCCGGGGCAACCAGGCCCCGGCAGTCCCTGCTGCGGCCGTGATGCCCCGGAAGGCGGGGCGCGGCGAAGAGGCCGAGGCGGGCGCCGAGGAGGCGGGCGCCGAGGAGTACGGCCCGGAGGAGTACGGCCACGAGGACTCGGGCGCCGAGGAGTCCGGCCCGGAATCCGGCCCGGAGGAGGCGGGCGCCGAGGAGGCGATGGAGGCCGGGCGGCCGCGGCCGGTGCTGCGCTCCGTCAACTCGCGCGAGCCGTCCCAGGTCATCTTCTGCAACCGCAGCCCGCGCGTCGTGCTGCCGGTGTGGCTCAACTTCGACGGCGAGCCGCAGCCCTACCCCACGCTGCCGCCGGGCACCGGCCGCCGTATCCACAGCTACCGAGGTACGGGCGGCGCCGCCCCGCGGGCTGGCTCGTGGCTGCTCTCAGCGGTGGCGACAGCACCGTCCCCTCGGGTCCCCTCCACCACCCGCCGGAAAAGCAGGTGGTGGCATCGTTATGTACTCATTTTACGGATGAGGAGCTGAGGCCTCTGGGAGGCTGTGACAGATCCAAGGTGACGCTGCTAGTGAGTGGCAGAGCATTCTTTTTTTTTTCAGAGTCTCACTCTGTCGCCGGGGCTAGAGTGAGTGCCATGGCGTCAGCATAGCTCACAGCAGCTTCCAACTCTTGGGCTCAAGCGATCCTCCTTCCTCAGCCTCCCGAGTAGCTGGGACAACAGGCATGCGCCACCATGCCTGGCTAATTTTTTTGTATATATATTAGTTGGCCAATAAATTTCTTTCTATTTTTAGTAGAGATGGGGTCTCACTCTTGCTCAGGCTGGTCTCGAACTTCTGACCTCGAGCGGTCCTCCTGCCTCGGCCTCCCAGAGAGCTAGGATGACAGGCGTGAGCTCGGCCTCCCAGAGAGCTAGGATGACAGGCGTGAGCCACCGCGCCCGCAGGGCCCAGAGCATTCTTTTTATAAGACTGAATAATTCTCATTCCAAGGTAGCTTTCCCACCCCTTCCATGGTGTCTTACTCCTAAGAGATGCGCTCCATCCCTAACGCCCGTCAGTCCAGTCCTGAGGACCCCTGGGGCCAATTCCGCGTGGAGTGTGGAGTCAGAGTGCCTGCGTTCACAGAGGACATAGTCCCGTTGGAAAGACAGATTCAGACACAGACAAGGACCAGCCAGTGTCGGGATTGCTGCGACAGTGAGGGGAAGGGTTGTGTGGTCTGAGTGAAGGAGAGCTTCCCACATAAGAAAAGACGCAGCATGAGCAGGAACTCGCCAAGCCAAGGTAGGAGTGGAGAGCTCTAGACTGGGCCCATAGAAATGTTGGTCTGGGCTAAGAGCTAGGGCCTTAGGAGAGGAAGCTCAAAAGGTCCTTTTACCCCTATGGAAATGGAGTCACTGAAAGTTTTTTTTTTGGGACAGAGTCTCGCTTTGTTGTCCAGGCTAGAGTGAGTGCCGTGGCAGCAGCCTACCTCACAGCAACCTCCAACTCCTGGGCTCAAGCGATCCTCCTGCCTCAGCCTCCCGATTAGCTGGGACTACAGGCATGCGCCACCATGCCCGGCTAATTTTTTCTATGTATATCAGTTGGCCAGTTAATTTCTTTCTATTCATAGTAGAGACGGGGTCTCCCTCTTGCTCAGGCTGGTTTTGAACTCCTGACCTCGAGCAATCTGCCCGCCTCGATCTCCCAGAGTGCTAGGATTACAGGCGTGAGCCACCGCGCCCAGCCCCACTGAAAGTTTTTAAACAGGGAAATGACATTGTCCTCACGTTTATGTACTGAAAAGCTCACGCAGGGTGCCAGGCCATTTCAAGGAGGAAAACTACTGGTGAGGAAGCAGTTAGGTAGCTGTTGCAAAAACCTAAATGAGGCATAACTAGATCTTACCTAAGGTGGAGGCAGTAATCTTCAGCAGAAAGGTGGTCCTAGTCTTGCTTAATTTTTACAACCATCTTGTGAGGATAACTGGTGGATCTTTTCTTCTGTGGGGTGGTATACTTAATAAACTAATGCTTCTTAAACTTTTGCACCAAACTTCTAGTGTTAGATGAGGAAGGACACAATACGATCGGCGGTTCTGTAGTCCCTGGGAAATTGTATGAATTTTGTATTCTACTTAAATATTTATCTGCTTGATTTAATCTAAAAATTTTTGGGGGGTGGGGGGTGGTGGCTCATGCCTGTAATCCTATCACTCTGGGAGGCTGAGGCAGGAGGATTGCTTGAGGTCCAGAGTTCGAGACCCGTCTGAGCAAGAGCGAGACCCCATCTCTACAAAAAATAGAAAAATCATCTGGTGTGGTGGCACATGCCTGTAGTTCCAGCTACTCGGGAGACTGAGGGAGGCTGAGGCAGGAGAAGTAGTCCCAGCTACCTGGGAGGCTGAGGCCGGAGTCTCACTTGAGCCCAGTAATGTGAGGTTGCAGTGAGCTGTGATGCCGCCACCGCGCACTAGCCTGGGGAACAAAGTGAGACTGTCTCCACACACACACAAAAATTTTTTTTTAATTATTTACCATGTGAATGTACTTAATGCCACTGAACTGTACACTTAAAAATGGTTAGGGGCCAGGTGCGGTGGCCCTGGACTATAATCTTAGCACTTGGGAGGCTGGAGCAGGAGGATCGCTTGAGGCCAGGGGTTCATACCAGCCTGGTAGCAATATAGCAAACTCCATCTCTATATAAAAAATTAAATTTCAAAAATGGTTAGTCCAGTTACTGAGCCACTGCTGAGGACTCTGCAACCTCCCCCGGAGTCCCCCTTTCCTGATGCTCCGTCCTCACCGCCTAACTTCTACTGCCAGTGCCACCTTCTGCAGGCCGTTTTCACCCAGGAAAGGGAACCGTGTGGTGTGGCTGCTACCCAGAGCCTCCACTCTCGACACCTTTGCTGATGCAAGTAAGGCTGATGCCCTTACTCCTGGCACTGAGGGTTATATCTGTATAAGAATTCAACAGAGGCCGGGCGAGGGGGCTCACGCCTGTCATCCTAGCACTCTGGGAGGCCGAGGCGGGAGGATCACTGAAGGTCAGGAGTTCGAAACCAGCCTCAGCAAGAGCAAGACCCTGTCTCTACCAAAAATAGAAAGAAGTTAATTGGACAGCTAAAAATATGTAGAAAAAATTATCCGGGCATGGTGGCACATGCCTGTAGTCCCAGCTACTCGGGAGGCTGTGGCAGGAGGATGGCTTGAGCTCAGGAGTTTGAGGCTGCAATGAACTAGGCTGACGCCACGGCACTCTAGCCCGGGCAACAAAGTGAGACTCTGTCTCAGAAAGAAAAGAATTCAACAGAGAAATGGTGGAAAGACCCTTACTACTGTCCAAGGGATTGCTGATGATTATGATAAAAAGAAATTAGTGCAGGTGTTTAAGAAGAAATTTGCCTGCAATGATACTGTAATTGAGCATACAGAGTATGGAGAAGTAATTTGGTGACAGGGTGACCAGTGCAAGAACCTATGCCAGTTCCTTGTAGAGGAACTGGCTAAGGACAGTCAGCTGAAGGTTAATGGGTTTTAAGTGTTTGTGGCTCACTGAAGCTTACGTGAGGGCTTCCTTGCGATGAGTAGAATTTCTCCTCTGTCCCTTGTCGCAAGTTCAAAAACCTCACAGTTTGTATAATGTAACATGTGGGGTCTGCTTTGTAACTTGGACTAGTGTAATTCCTTCCTGCAATAAACTGTATTAAAAAATGGTTAAAATTTTATGAATATTTTACCATAATTAAAAAATTACCAGGTGGGCACGGTGGCTCACGCCTGTAATCCTAGCACTCTGGGAGGCCAAGGCAGGCGGATCGCTCGAGGTCAGGAGTTCGAAACCAGCTTTAGCAAGAGCGAGACCCCGTCTCTGCTAAAAGTAGAAACAAATTAATTGGCCAACTAAAAATATATAGAAAACATTAGCCGGGCATGGTGGCACATACCTGTAGTCCCAGCTACTCGGGAGGCTGAGGCAGGAGGATCGCTTGAGCCGAGGAGTTTGAGGTTGCTGTGAGCGAGGCTGACGCCATGGCACTCTAGCCTGGGCAATAGAGTGAGACAGTGTCTCAAAAACAAATGATTAAGATAAAAAAAAAAATTACCAGTTTGCATGTCTTAAATTTTCCTACCAAATCTTCAAGTAAATTTATGCCCCAGGACGAAGTGCTATATTTATTTGAGACAACCTCCTCCTTAAACAGAATCTTGGGTCTGGAGGTTTGCCTCCTTCCCCCACTATTTTATGTGTGATGTATTTGTTTTTAAAATTTAGGAATAATTTATGCAGATCTGAAGGTTTGATGAGTTTTGGCAATTGTAGCAACACCTAGATCAAGTTGTAGATTAGAACAGGTCCGTTCCCCTATTAAGTCCCCTCCTACCCCTTCCCACTCAGACCTCTCCCTCCCAGAGCTGCCACTCTTCTGAATTTTCGCACTGTAGATTAGTTTTGCCTGTTCATACGTAATGTACCCTTTTCTGTCCGGCTTCTTTCAACATGCTGTTTTGTATCTTCTGTTTTTTGAGAAGCACAGCTTTTAGGAGTCAGCCGCCTTGTTCCTTATGGTTTGCAGTGCTTGGTGTGATTGGCAGTCACACGCTTCACCTAACCTAGGCTTTCCTTTCCCACCACGGCAGAAAGGATGCAGGAGTTGGAACCTCTTTTGCTTAGTATCTCTGTTGCCTTGGGCAAGTCACTTGCCTTTTTCAGACCTGTTTTCTGTTGTAAGGATGGAATGAGATAGTTATTTGAGGGCTTAGTACGATATTTAAGCAGAGTGAGAGGCAAGCATTTCACGCAGGTCAGGAGAAGCAGAGAAAATAGGTGTCCTGACTCAGACAGCCTCTGCTCCTTAACAGCCTCTGCTTGTCTTAACAGGTCACCTGTGGCTCTTCAGAGATGCAGGGACGTACGATGGGCTTCTGGTTAACCAGACGGAATTATTTGTGCCGTCTCTCAATGTTGATGGGCAGCCTATTTTTGCGAACATCACACTGCCAGGTACTGATGTTCAATCTTGCTTTTTAAAAAGATAAGGTTGTTGTAGTAAGTAGAGGATAGGCCACTTGAAGGAGCCCAGCTCTTACCAATTTTTGCCTGATGCTGGACAAGGTATCCAACCTTTCTGTGGCCTATTCTCTACCGTAAATAAAGTAGAAGTAATTTATCTATATGTTCTGTATTGAACAAAGATGTTGGGGTGTCTCAAAACCACTTTGGGCTCTTAGGAGAAGAGCTGTTCACTGAAATAGTGTTGTGGTGAACAAAAAAAAGAAAGAGAAGGGCTAAATTAAAGTATCACACCATAGATTAATTCTGTATAATTGTAATATGAATGCCTTTTGAGTCTCTGGCCTTAGAGCAGAATCATACCCTGAAGTCAGGAGAACAAATTATACAGTGTGAGATAATATGGCTTATTTGTTGTTGACGTCTAATGTTAAATTTTTAATTTAGTCCAGTCAAGCTCACAGTGCCAATCAGATTCTAAAAAATAAAAATCAGCAAATTGAAGATTAGCATCATAGTTCACTATTTGTTTAGAGCTCAAATGATTTTATTAAGTTGAACTCTGAGAAACTGATGTTTTTGTGGGGAAGAAAACCAAATACCCATGGCTTCCTAGGGTTCAAACTAATATGTATATATACATACTGTTTTTTTTTTTAATTTTTTTTTATTTTGGCATATTATGGGGGTACAGATTTTAAGGTTTCAATAAATGCCCATTTCCCCCCCTATACATACTGTTTTAAGGAAGCGAGTATACAAATAGAGCATTGATAAGTTGAATTTGGGAGACTTTGCCTTATAGAATACTCTTGAAGAGTAAATTCTCAGTGAGTTTAAAATAAGAATTTCGTTGCCTCAAAACCCAATTTCACACTGTTTTGGTTATCTGTAACCGTGTGACAGTCACCCCCAAATTAACAACCACCATTTGTTTATAATTCTGCAGTCTGGGTTGCACTCAAGCTACGTGGTTATTCTGCTGACTGGTGGTCACTGGCGTGGCTGCCTTCTGCTGGCAGGTGGGTGGAGGTCTGGGCCTGTCCTTTGCATAGTCTCTCCAGGAGGGTAGCTCTGGGCTCCCAAGAGTGTGAAAGCAGAAGTTGCCAGGCTTTCTTAGGGATCAGGCCCAGAATTGCCAGTGTCACTTCATCTGCAAATCCTTGGCCCAGCCCGTTTTAAGAGGAAGTTACTACACAAGGATGTAGAATTCTCTGAGGCATCCCCGGGGGCCATCAGCATGATACACACACACCACAACATACGCATGCACTTTTTTCCCCACTGAAGTGAGATCCACATGTAGCAAAGGCAGTTGCCACACTTGGTAAAACCTCTTGTTCAGCCCTGGTCCCGGGGTGTGAGTCTGCCCCTGAACGTCGATTCTCTGCCCTGCAGTGTATACCCTGAAGGAGCGATGCCTCCAGGTTGTCCGCAGTCTTGTCAAGCCTGAGAATTACAGGAGGCTGGACATCGTCAGGTCACTCTACGAAGATCTGGAAGACCACCCGAACGTGCGGAAAGACCTGGAGCGGCTGACACAGGAGCACATTGAAAATCAACGGATGGGAGAGGAAATGGAAGATTTTAATTGAAATTCACCCCCCCACATCTCAACTTTTGATGGTACTAATGAGTCTTGACCTGGATATAGGACCGGTCACTTACTCTCTGTTTCAAAATGTGTGATTTTGGGAGTACAATACGCTCCACTGCTTAAAAAGAAGGTTAACTGACTTCACTAGGCATTGTGGTGTTCAGGGGCAAACGTCACAAAAGTGTTACTTAATGCCTGCCCTTTCTAGAAAGTATTTATCGGGAGACAGTAGTTGTACTTTTGCCTCCTAGTAAGTCAGGAAATTTTCTGTGTAAGGATGTTCATGTGAGTCATTCAGTAAGAATTGCAGCATCTCCTCTCAGCGTGAGACAGCGGCGGCGTCTGCTTCCAGTTGACACGTTGTGGTTGGGGACTGTCTGCCTCTGGCTTTGGGAAGGCTGAGTCTCTCTAGGCAGGGGACAAGGCTTTCTCCTCAAGACCCCAGTGCCTAGCACACTACGAGCCGTCAGTTCGTTCGTGTTTGTCAGATGAGCAAACCATTGGATGTTTTGGTAGAAAGTGTGTGGAGGTTTTGCCTCTTTTTTGTTGTGGGGGGGGAGGCTTCAAAGTGTGTACAGTAAACAAATGTCTTAAAGGGAATCATTTTTATAGAAAGTGCTTTTTGTAATTTTCTAAATCGAGTGCTGTTCTGACTCCACCATTGTTGTAGTTCCGTTTTATTTCTGTTTTTAAACTAGGATTGGTTTTCTACAGTTAATTGTGATGAAAGCATTTTTGTAACTTGACATCTGCCCAGAAAATAGGAGAAAATCCTCATGTTTAATTCTAGTATTAATGAGCAACTCTGCTGTAAATAAGTTTTTGCCAAGTGTGGGTATTTCTATTCCATTTTGTAAATCTGTGACATTTCCGATTGGTTCAGCATTTTTCATCAGGCCGGACCTGGTGGCGTCTTTCAGTGGCGGAAGCCCTTCAGTCTCTGCTGAGTTACTCCTAACAGGGGATTCAAGGAATAGCCTGGAATTTTTTTTTATATAGTTTTATAAATGTATAGATCCTTCCTTAATAGGATGGACTTAAATTCATTAGCTTAAATTCAATACTTTTATTAGATTTAGTCTTTTATAATTAATAATCTTTTTTTTTAAAAAGCTGCCCAGTAGAGAAAAATTTGGAAAAGGCACAAAAGTAAAAGGAAGAAAAAAGGTCACTGTAGATAACACTACTTAAACATAACCACTATTAACATTTTGAACTATTTTCCTTCAGCTTTTTTTAGAGCATATTTTGATTGGTTTTTACATAGTTGAGATCATATTGTATATAGTTTTGTATCCTACTTTTTCATTTATGTTTATAACTTAAATATTTTTCCATGTTAAGCTCTTCAGTAGTATAGTCTTCCATTTATAATTAATGTTTGGGTTATTTCTTTGAGTCCTTAATTCCTTATCCTAACCTTTGGGTACAATTCCTATGCTCTAAAACCGGAGTGAAGTGAGTGAAACATAGCTCCCGTTTCCCCGCTACCTTTTAAATTTCGCTTGATCTTCAGGCTGAGGCACACATGCATTAACGAATGAACGAATGAATGAATGTGAAAATAAACTTGACCTAATCCTAGCCCCCTCTTTCAACATTCAAGGAATAAGTTGGCTTTTTTAAAAGCATGTTGTAGTAGTTGTTACTCAGTGACACACACCTCTAAAATTTACGATTTTTGTGGACATGTTGGGTAGAGAAGAGCTGTAGAAGCAGAGTGTCGTGTGCTAGAGAGGGAGGCAGCTATGTGAGTCCCGCAGTAGGCAGGGTAGGGGATTTAAGGAAGTCGGCTGATGGTGGAGTAGTTTCAAGTTGGTTTTATTTTTTTCAACCTGTCTTTGTCTAAATGAGATTTCATGTTCCTCTTGTTCAAACATGCAGTTGGAGTACTGTGGTTTTTTGTGTTGTCCAAGGAAGACTGAAAACTTGTAGCATGAATAATGTATGTTTCTCCTTTGAAATCTTGTGAATGTATTAAATGTATTGTTCTTAAGAGACTGTGAAGTTCCTATTTCAAGTTTTTAAAAAAAGCTGTTCTTTAATACATTAAACGGTGCTGTGTAAAGGAATAGATGGGGTGTGTTGTGGTGGTGTTTTAACCAGGCTTTTCTGTCAGAGAGTTTTTTTTTTGTTTTTTTTTTGAGACAGAGTCTCGCTTTGTTGCCCAGGCTAGAGTGAGTGCCATGGCGTCCTAGCTCACAGCAACCTCAAACTCCTGGGCTCGAGTGATCCTTCTGCCTCAGCCTCCCGGGTAGCTGGGACTACAGGCATGCGCCACCATGCCCGGCTAATTTTTTTATATATATATCAGTTGGCCAATTAATTTCTTTCTATTTATAGTAGAGACGGGGTCTCGCTCTTGCTCAGGCTGGTTTTGAACTCCTGACCTCGAGCAATCCGCCCGCCTCGGCCTCCCAAGAGCTAGGATTACAGGCGTGAGCCACAGCGCCCGGCCTGTCAGAGAGTTTTGAAAGCTTAGGGTAGGGATCGGAGAGCAAACATAAGCAACTAGCCTCATTCTAAGTCTCCTCTCTTTCCAACCCTGATTTTTTTTTTAAATTAACATTGTTTCTTTTAGCTTTATGTTTCTTATGAAAATGAAATGTCACTGTAAAAAAATTATAAACCACAGAGAAATATTAAGAAGAAAACATTCACCCTGGGAACAAAATTTTTCCCTGTGAAAACAGAACCAAAAACGGTAAGTGGCTAATATTTCACCAGCTATTACGTTGAGAGTGAAAGGTCACTGGGCTAGAAATCACTGCATCAAGGATGCGAAATAGATATCAGTGTGGACACCGGCGTGAATTTTTTTAGTCACTTTCACATTTGGTCTCTATCCCATTCTTAGCACCTCCCAGCCCCACTCTCTGCCAGTCACTGGGCTGCCTGATACCCGTTCAATCCAGATTGAGTATTCCCTAATGCAAAAATGTGAAATCCAAATGCTCCAAATCCAGAACTTTCTGAGAACTGACATGACACCACAAGTAGAAAATTCCACAACGTACACAAACTTCAACACAAACTTTGTTTCACGCACAAAATTATTAAAATTTTTATTTTAAATTACCTTCAATCTATGTGTATAAGGTGTACAGGAAACACAAATGAATCTTGTGTTTAAACATAGGTCCCATCCCCAAGATATCTCATTATGTATATGTACATATTCTAAAATCTGAAAAATCCGAAATCTTAAACACCTCTGGTCCCAAGCATTTTGGATAAGGGATACTCACCTTTATTTCCCTTTTCTTTTGGCACACCTTTTACTCCCCCCCCCAAACAAAACATTTTCCTGCCCCTGCTCCTCATCATACACCCAATAGTCTATTGGCAGATCACAGAAAAATTATATATGCTTGTGATGGTCACCAGAAGGATTGGGCAATAGCACACTGGATAAGAGAGAAAAACCCACAAAACTTGTTTCCAGAATTCAAACCGTGAAACCTCAGGCAGTATAACTCTGCTTAACATACAAACAAATAACAATAGGTTCTCTCCCTGTCCAAGTAGAAAAAGAAATATTGTTTTGTTCCAATTGGGAAAAGTTGAGAGTCCTAGAAGCCTGAGGCTGGGCCCACAAATGTTAACAATAATAGCTATGATTACTGAAAGGCCCAGAGGAAGTCACGCTGAACCATTTTATCTTATAATAAATTGTGAAGAGTTAATTGAGCAAAGGATAGTCTAGCAGTTAATTTGATGAGGAGTGATATGAGGTGACAATTCTTCACTAGTAGAAGGCAGATCATTACGTAGGCCAAACCCAAGAATATGAGAAAGCATCAGTAGGTATTAATGGTGAGGGTTGTTACAGCAGGTCTGGATTACCCTGTCCTGGAGCAGCTATAGGGAGTAAGGAGGATTTTTTTTTTTAAGAGATGGGCTCTCACTACGTTGCTGAGGCTGGACTTGAACCCCTGGGCTCAAGCGATCCTTTTACTTTCAGCCTCTAGAGTAGCTGGCACTACAGGTACATGCCACTGTGCCTGGTTAATTTTTTTTCTTAATTTTTGTAGAAATGGGGTCTCACCGAGTTTCCCAGGCTGGGTCTAGAAATCCTTACTTCAGGTGATCCTCCCACGTTGGCCTCCCAAAGTGCTGGGATCACAGGCGTGAGCCACTGCACCAGTCCCACCACAATTTTATTTTATTGATTGATTGATTGATTGAGACAGAGTCTCGCTTTGTTGCCCAGGCTAGAGTGAGTGCCATAGCGTTAGCCTAGCTCACAGCAACCTCAATCTCCTGGGCGCAAGCAATCCTCCTGCCTCAGCCTCCCAATAGCTGGGACTACAGGCATGTGCCATCATGCCTGGCTAATTTTTTCTATATATATTAGTTGACCAATTAATTTCTATTTATAGTAGAGACGGGGTCTCGCTCTTGCTCAGGCTGGTTTCAAACTCCTGACCTCGAGCGATCCGCCCGCCTCGGCCTCCCAGAGTGCTAGGATTACAGGTGTGAGCCACCACGCCCGGCCCAACCACAATTTTAGATGAGTTCATCTTTGCTTCAGAAAATCTACTTTTAAGAATTTACCTTGGCCAGGCATTGTGGCTCACGCCTGTAATCCTAGCACTCTGGGAGGCAGAGGCAGGTGGATTGCTCGAGGTCAGAAGTTTGAAACCAGCCTGAGCAAGCCCCTGCCTCTACTAAAAAACAGAAATAAACTAATTGACCAACTAAAAATATATATACAAAAAATTAGCCGGACATGGTGGCGCATGCCTGTTGTCCCAGCTACTCGAGAGGCTGAGACGGTAGGATCACTTGAGCACAGGAGATTGAGGTTGCTGTGAGCGAGGCTGACGCCACAGCACTCACTCTAGCCTGCACAACAAAGTGAGACTTTGTCTAAAAAAAAAAGAATTTACCTTAAAGAAAAAAGCAAGCATGAAAAGATGTGTATATATGAAGGCTCACTGCAGCATTATATAGAATAGCGTAATACTGGAAATAAATGCACCGTGATAGGAGTATGGCCAAATAAAGCATAGTGCTCCTAAATAAGCCAAAAAGGAAAAAGTAGATGCTATTGGCTGGCATGGTGGCTCACGCCTGTCATCCTAGCATTCTGGGAGGCCAAGATGGGAGGATCGCTCAAGGTCAGGAGTTTGAAACCAGCTTGAGCAAAAGCGAGACCTTGTCTCTACTAAAAATAGAAAGAAATTAATTGGCCAACTAAAAATATATAGAAAAAATTAGCCGGGCATGGTGGCGCATGCCTGTAGTCCCAGCTACTTGGGAGGCTGAGGCAGCAGGATTGCTTTAGCTCAGGAGTTTGAGGTTGCTGTGAGCTAGGCTGACACCATAGCACTCTAGCCAGGGCAATAGAGTGAGACTCTTGTTTCAAAAAAAAAAACAAAAAGAGAGTGTTCATTTTCTCTTTCTGTCACAATGATCACATCCTATCAGAGAAACCAATAAAGATATTTTATTTAAAAAATCAAATGTGAAAAGCACATAAGTAGCTTTATTATTATTCCCCTTTCATCAGTCTTCCTTCCTGATTCAGCTTCCTGATATAATGCGGGGTTCTCAACTCTGCCTGCACATAACTATAATTATCTGGATGCTTTTAAAAATGTGGATGCCTGAGCCTCACCTCAGGATAATTGAATCTAGATTTCTGGAGGTAGTGCGTCTCGGCTTCTGTGGTTGTTAAAATCTCCCCAGGTGTTTCCAATGTGCAGCCAAGGTTGCAAACCACCAGCTGTAACTTCAAGGGAATTGAACATGAACAGCTCAAAATGATATAACTATGTAACTAATTACATCAAGTCTCTCGATAACTTTTTGTTTTTAATTTTTAAATTTTTTTTTAATTTTTATTTGAAGAGGTGGGAGTTTTTGAGGGGGGGTGATCAGTTTCCTTGTTTTTGTTTTTGTTGTTGAGACAGAGTGTCACTCAGTGTTCCTGGGTAGAGTGCAATGATGGTAGTCACCGGAAGCTCCAACTTCTGGGCTGTGAGCGATCCTCCTGCCTCAGCCTCCCGAGTAGCTGGGACTACCGGTGCGCACCACCACACCCGGCTGGGTTTTGTGGTTTTGTGCATTTTTACTTTATTTTTCTTTATTTATTTTAATAATTTATTTTTACTTATTTTTTTTAATACAGAGACACTTCACAAATTGCCTTTATGTTTTGTGCACTTTTATTTATTTATCTTTTTTCTTTTTCCCAGGCATTACAAGGACAGTTTTGTGCATAAAAACATTTTTTTTCTTTTGTATTCGGTAGAGACGGGGGTCTCAGTGTGCTCAGGCTGGTCTGGAACTCCTGGCCTCAAGTGATCCTCCTGCCTCGGCCTCCCAAAGTGCTGGGATCACAGGCGTGAGCCAGGGCGCCACGACAGCAGGTAATGCATAATAGAGGGTTTGACGCACGCATTATATATGTTGTGGTGCCAAAAGCACTGGATGGGGGCACAGGGCCTCCCGCGAGGACTGCCGCGGGATTGCCGCGTCCCTTCTCCTCTCTGGGCCCCAGTTTCTCCTCGCAGTCACGACCCTCCTTCGGGTCCGCCAGCCTCTGGGGCCAAGTTGGCGGGGCTGCGTCGCGCCGCCCGCGGCCGCCAGGGGGCAGTGGCGTGCTGACGCCCCGCCCACTTCCGGGCGGTGGCGCCCCGCCCACTTTTGGACTGCGCCGCCCCGCTGAGCCCGCCGGGCCGGCCGGAGACGCGGGCAGCGCGCGGCCGGCTCTTGGCAACATGGCCGGCTACATCTACCAGCTGCCCGCGCGCGTGCTGGACGACCTGTGCCGCAGCATGGACACGCTCAGCGAGTGGGACTGGATGCAGTTCGGTGAGTCGCCCGCGCCGCGCTCCCGCCTCGCGCCGGCCGCCCGGTTCCCCGTCTGGGCCTCGGCCTGGTCGCCTCGAGGGAGCCGTGTGTCCGCCCCTGCTTTGCCATGGTCATTGATCACAGCGAAACTGATTGATCACAGGGAAACTGATTGACCACAGGGAAACTGATTGATCACCGGGAAATGATCACAGGGAAACTGATCACAGGGAAACTGATCACAGGGAAGCATTGATCACAGGGAAACTGATT